AACCACCCTCACAATGACATGCCTGTAGGGGGGTGCCCACACAGAGGTGGATATATCGGATATGTCAGGTATGTCACGTGGGTAAGGGATACTTCAGCGAAAGTCTTCGTCCTCTCGGTCAATCTCTGCAGCTGATAGCAGTGGTCTAGAAGTCCGGTTCGACCACTTACTTCCTCCGTGAAGTAGTATAGAAAAAAACCCGAAAATCATCTCATCTCCCCAGACTTCAGTCCATTCCTTTTTTTGTAGTTGACTTCCACTTGCTTCTTCTGTTCGTGACCGAGCTTGATCCCCCTTGGTTCGGTCACCAGGCCTGGTCACCAACGGTTGACTCCCTCTGGCAGGGATCAGTTGTTTTCACTTTGCCCGAATTGTCTCCATCCCTAAGGTAGCAGTTCGTCGGTTCGTCTCTCAACTCTCCAACAGGTCTTTCCTGTCGTCCGGTGCCCAGGTGAACCACCTGAACTAGATAGCGCCATCATCGCCCTTCTTTCACCTCTCCAGTTGTCCATGTCGACCGAAGCGGACTGGTGATTGGACCCCCCCGGGACACGCGGAGGGGTCGTCCTGGTGGCAGGTACCCTCAGCAGTTCAAGCCGATCGTCGGGGAGAGTGGAAGGACTATGACCCCGACCGCACCTCGACTGCACGGCACCGGAGATCGCGACCGGAACGGGGTCGTTTCTTCCGGAAGGAACTCTCTGACCGGTGGAGACGGTGGTCCGAAGGCGGTTGGGTCCACAGAGGGACCTTCCGTTTGAGGTGTCTATAAATAGCCTCTTAGAGGTTAAGTGGAGTCCATGGTTTTGCTTCACAGAGACCATGAAAATGCCGCCGTCTGGGCCGACGTTCTCAAAAGTCTCTGGTTTCCTGGGAGATCCCTTGCACCGCCCTTTGTCGCGACTTCCGTGGCACGCACGACCTGCAGCGACACGTTCCGCTGAAAAACGAGGCGATGACTATGACCCTTGCACGGCCGTGCTGCTTCCGCCGCCGGCCGACGCGAATGAGTTGTTCCGCCGACAGGATCGGTCACGGGCGGGCGGTCACGGGAACGGGCGGTATGGCGGGCCATGGTGGGAGGGAGGTCGCTGATGGTCGTTGGGATCCCTGCAAAGCTGTGGTGAGAGTGGACGTGGCGGTGGAAGGGTGAATTCTGTGGCTAGATGAGGGATGGTATGATGGGATAGGTTGGCCCATAGCTTCGCCTCTTGGGGCCCCGGAAAGAACCGCAAACAGTGAACTCAAAAGCCACTGTGGTGCAGATCCCATTGTTTTGAAGGGAAGCGTAGGGTGCTATGGGTGGTTCTCGTACCATTCTCGCAGTCAGTCCTGCTACTGGATTTGCTAAAGGATCTAAAGGATCCCACTTTCTTCCGGATGACGACACACAAAAAGGAATACTGCAAACGCCTTTGACCCTCCAAAACCTTCAATTATCTTTGGAGTTCAAGGTCTTATAGTTCTCGCAGTTGGATCCCGAAAGGGGGTTGCGGTGTTCTGGTTGGCGCTTCTATCGCCTCTTGCCGTGGAAGGCCGGAGGAATGAATCCCGCGTCCGCTCGCTCTGTCTGCCCGGACAGCGCGCTGGCAGGTGATCCACCTCCAAAGTCGGATCCGCAAAGGTGGAAAGGAGAAAGTGCTGGCGCACTACCTCAAGGTGGTGGAGGCGCCTCCGAGCCCCGGACAGACCGGACGTATCCGGATGTGGTCTGAGACCAACTATCGGATGGACGGACCGTTGGAACGCGCGCGGTAGGGAGGTTGGCCATGGAAGTGCTCTTCTTCTTTTTGGGGAGACTTCGGAAGCGATGGAGCTTTGGCAAGTTGTAATTAGATGGGTCCACAAGCAAGCAGTAAGGTTTACGGCTGTCTTGGTCTCTTTTTTAGGGTGAGAAGTAACTATAGAACTTGATTGACCGGGACAACCAACTGGCCAAATCATTGACTTTCTTCCATCCTTTTCCAATCAAGGCAAAAGTAGATCAAGTGGGTTCTAGGTAGTTGTGTGTGGTATGGTCCTTTCTTTTTCCTTTGCTTCGCCAGGAAATGGAAAGGTCCATGAATCCAGACACCAAGGCACGGAAAGCCGCATGCAAACGGGAGGGGATGGGCTGATTGGCAATGTGCTTCGTTTGGGTTGCGAAGGATTGAGGGTTGAGGAAAGTGAGGCTTCTTCAGATCATCGAGCTTGAGTTCTGATTCAAGCCAACAGACCAAAGAATTCCGCTCTTGTGAGGAGGTCATGGTGGTGACGCAGTTCAAGAAGGAGTTCGAAGCCTTTTCCGGGGCGGCGCATGTGGAGGGGATCGCTGGTGGATTCCGGGAAGCTTCTGTCATCTTCTGTTATTCTTTTGCCCTTTCCTTCTCTTTCAATATAATGTTGGAGTCTTGGGGTTTCAACGAAAAGAACCACATCCTTCGGAAGAGATCTGGAACACGAGGGAATTGAGGTTTCTGAAATCTGCATGTGCCCCACCAGCATGGCCCACCCTTGGAGTCTCCGGACCTTGCCCGTGGTGCCCGGTGCAGGAGTTCTGTCACAAGAGGACGACCAGTGCAGCCTCCACCGCGGCCCCGGAAGGGCCCGAGCAGGCGAGGGGGTTGGGGTGCTTGGCTCCAAGCACGGGAAGCCTATGTAGAGGGAGTCTTGCAAGTGGATCTTTTCGCCAGATGCTTTGCTTTTTATATAGTTTTTGAATTAGGAGGGCGGAAAGATGACATGTCGGTGAGGAATCATGTGTGAGAATTGGTCGGCAACATCACAGATACAAATGCAGATCCTTTCCCAAACAAGGTCAGGGAAGCTGCCTTCCAAGACAACATTGGTTCCCTTCTGAAACTGCAGAATCCTTTTGAGGCTTCGATCAACACTATCAATATTCAAATTCCAAATAATATATCTCCATGTCCATTGGAGTACATTCTGGCACTTGCCAATAGGCATCCACTTCTCTTACAAAGTCTGCTTGGGAACCGCTTCTCAGACAGCTCGGCGCTCGCAGCGGCAGCCCAGCTCGGCATCGACCCGTGGCGATCGACCCGTGGCGCTGGTGAGGTAGACGATTTGGAGGAAGACCACGAGGATGAAGAGGAGTTGGGCTGGAGCCGGGCCGTGACTTCGTGGGATGATACCAAGGGGGAGGTGCCCGGGCGAAAATGCTGGGCAGGTCCATACTAAGACAAGACAAGACCAGACAAGACAAGCAAGACAACTATACTACATTACAAGACTAAGTGTTTTGAATGATAATTTCGATCCATTGTTTTGGTGATTTGTGGTCAGCTGGCCGGTGATATCTCGATGGTAGCTCGAGCAATCTGGTAGGACCTCCAAAAAGAAACAGATTGATGGGTCTTGCTGCCACATCCAGTGGACTGTATTCGCCACTCCACGCAACTGAGTTACTTTCATTTTCCAGCTTTCTTCCCACAGATTGTGCATGTCAGTTGATATGCTTGCCGGCTTCAATGGGAAGAGACGTTTCCTCGTCGGTGAATTGGTCTCCAGACTACTCCGTCCGGTGGGGGGCGATTCGAGTCGCCGACTCGATCCTAAGAGGTAGACCCGGTGAATCAGAGGTGCTCCTTCACCCCCTAGCGATTTCCTTTGCATTTCAGCCACCGATCAGCCCTTTTTTTCACGTCTTCGTCGCTGCTTTCCGTCTTCGTCTTCGTCCGCAGGAAGAAGCAGACATTCCGCTGGAAGGCGCCCATGTGGCCACCACACGAGCGTTCACCAAGAAGTCCTTGCCCGGTTGGACTCTGAGCTTTTCGGTTGGCGTAGAGAGCGTTGCAAGGACCGAAGAGGACGTCGAATCCGGACCGGCAGAATTTGGGTGATTGCCTTGGTGATTTGAGCGACGTGGAAGTGGATGGCCATCCACCCTGAACAGAAGACAACGAGGAATTCTACGAACCAGGGGGGGTGGTTCTCCAGGAAACCATGTGATGTGTATCGTCCGATGTGTATCGTCCAGCTCTCTTCGGAGGACCTTAAGGTCGAACGAGCTGCCTCTCGGAAGACCGAACTTGGGTGGTCTTTGGACCGCACCCCTTATTGTCGGTTGTAGCCTGGGACAGGCTCAAAGCGAGGTGGACAATAGGTATGTGGCGTCGACCACTTTTAGTCTTATCCTCCATTCACCATCATTCACCCTTTTTACCACTGGAAGTCTTTGGACGCTTCTTCTCGGACCAAGGCTTCACTTCGAAAACCACCTAAGAATCGAAACTCCAGGGTCGTAGAGACTGTCTCTACACAGTGGGGATTGAAACTGCATCTAGATCGGATTCTGGATTCTCATTGCCAGATGTTTACTCCATGGACGATCCGGCTGCTTCGGGCAATGCGAGGCTTCGTGGACTGGTGAGGTTCATTCGTGGTAACGTTTAGCGACGGGACTTGCTACCTGAGAAGTCCAGAAATTCTTGGGGGTTTTCAGTTCGGACTGTTCTGAGAGCTCCGAGGCCATCCCAACATGCCCAAGTCAGGAGGCTGGGTGGCGGGGAGGAAGGGAGGCTGGGTTATTTTCTGCGACGATTTCTTTCTGTGACCAAACCTCTACACCAATCCCGTGGTCAGTGAAAGAAGAGGCCCTTTAGAGGTGAACTGGGGCCTTCACTCCGGCTCCACAGACCTTCACCTTTTTTTTCTGGAAACGGATCTGGGACACCTTCCAACTGCAGGATCCGTCCGCAACAAGGGTGTTGTTAAAACAACGGGGGCACGCGTGGCAGCACCAATGCAGTACCTATAGGTTTGAATCAGGGAAGAAAGTACCATAGGTCTCTGAAACACATGGGGAATTGTATTGCTTTGACGTGCCTTTTTGGGCTTTCGGGGGTTTGGGAGGCCGTTGATGGTATGCGGCCCACCTCGTATGGAGCCATTCAACCAAGTAAAGTCAGGATGTTTCTGTGATCTATTCCTTTCAGGTCTCAAAGCAACCCAAGAAGAAAAACATACAAGTTCCTTCAGTGAACCACTGACCAAGAAAGCGTTGCTTGGGATTTGGGATCTTCTTGGCCAATGCAAACACCTCCGGCACTCCATCAGACTCCCGCCGCTCCACGGTGGCTGTTCAGCTCGAGCTGGTCGGAACCGTCGCATCGAGCTGCGTCCATCCCTTCTAAGTCCGTGGCCTCTCCTCGGCCGACGCGACCCGAGTCCGCGCGGGGTCTCGGCAGAGACCCGCTCGCGCCCGGGACGTCGCGTCGCATCCGAGTCTTCATATGCTGCTCAGGCGAGCGAAGCGGGGAAGCGGGGGGGATCCAGGGCAGTGGCGGTCGGCGGTCTGGGTTTTGTTGGATGAATCACTCAGACAGGTGGATGGGAAGTGGCGACAACTGGATCGGCGGGGCATCCGATAAAGGACATCCGGTGGTGGTTTCTCACACGAGATGAACCTTCTCAGGGCGAAGTGTTGTTTCCTGGCCAAGTAATTGGTTTTATAAGGTTTTATACAGTGCTGAAACATGTTCTTAGTAGGCGTAAATGTGCTGTGTCTGACTGGTCGGGGAACTGTCTGATTTCCACACACACACACACGTGTTGAACACAAACAAACGAGCTCCATTGGCGTCCACCTTGAATTCACCGGCAAACGAGCTCCGAAGGTGGTTGCTGCTGCAGCCCCTTGCCGTCGCGGTCGCCCGCGTGCTGCTCTTCTGGCCGGTGGACGATAGTGAGCGAACCCAGAGGCTCATTAAGGCCAATGTGCGGCACGCCGAGGAGATCAATGGGGTGCCAGGTAGGAGGCCTCGGCGTGCCAGGTGGTGGGAGGCCTCAAGTTCTCTGTTTTTGCTTGTTCCCATAGATGCATTTGAGACGAGCCAGACCTATAATGAATATTAAGAAGTGCTCTGAGGCTGAGTTGCCTTTAGAGATTTCGCGCCTGCAGGAGCAAAAGATTGAGTTCGAGGTGATCTTGGCACACTACCGTGGCTTCAAAGAGAACTGGGACCAGGACTGAGCCCAGATTGATACCGATGGTCAGGTCTGAGCCCAGGTTTCCGCGTTTGAAGCGAAACATCAGTCTTTAGGCCGGTTCTCGCCTAAACCAAACCAGCTCATAGCGACCCTAGGGAAGAGACGCACTCAATTCCTGAGACAGCAAAAGCAAGCTGAACCCAAAGCTCTGGTCATGCCAGGAGGAATTTTCACGGACATCAACAGGACACACCATTTACCGACACCTGGGGGTCTGTCTTTTCCAGATGTCTTTTTTTGGGGACACCTCCTGTGGAAGACATCGCAGGTTCGCGGGTTTTTCGGAGCAACGGGAGTGCAGGAGTGGTATCAGAAGTATGTGGTCCAGTCGCTGAACGGCACAGGCCGGGGGCCACACACGCCATCTGAAAGAGGGGGATCTGAAGTCCACTTTGGGGGCCGGTTTCACAGAGCGTTGGGCTGGGTTTGAATGGTGCCATCACCTTTGGGAACACAGCTCCAAGGCATCTTCTTGAGACCAAAACCCATGTCCAGGCACCAGCCTGACACCCACACAGGCTTATTGATGAATACTCTTCTTTGTTGTCATGCCCTCTGACCACCTGTGCTTGTTTTCAGCATGGCATTGGGCTTTAATGGCCATTGTCCAAAGGAGGCTTCTTGGCCAGAGGCTTCAAATGAAAAGGCTTTAGATGAAAAGGCTTTTGGGCAGGCTTTAAATGAAAAGGCCACTTGAACGAGGCAGTGGCTAAAGAGGTTCTTTGGGTCCATCCTTGCGCCAGTGGGTAAAGAGCGTTTTCGAGATGCGACACTTTTGTTTCTTCTGGCGCCCACAGCCGCAAGTACGTCAGGATTTCCTTGTTGAATTGCTTTCGGTTTCGTCCGTGCCCCTGGTGCCAACCTGAACCAATGTGTGAGTCACACGTGGTGCTTGAGAAGGGCTCCCAAATCACCCGAACCTGCCTTCCCCGCAGCTCTTGTCCGGTCGTCCATGGTCTCTCCACGGGGAGGTCGCAGTCAGGTCCGCCGCAGCGTCGGAAGGTGGGTGGGTCAGACCGGGTGTCACGTCCGTTGGGTGTCTGGAGTTGGGAAGGTGTTTGTCGTCCCATCGTGGGCGGCCGTGGGATGGGACAGGGGACACCCCCGATCCTTCCGTTCGGATCCGGCATCCCACATGTGACGCCTTGAGAGGCTACAAGTTCCACTTCTTGCGCTCGGCCTACCTCAAGCAGGCCCAAGAGATGCCAAGAATTCGTTTTTTGCGCTGGTGAGGGTGTCCCAAAAGAGGGCGACGACGCTGGTTTTTTACCTCGGGGTGGTGGGTCCAGTTTGATGGAGGACATGCCAAGACCCAATGCGAAACCCAGTGTATCCCAGTTATCACTATATCCAGGGTGTCTAGGTCTACAGTCTACGGTCTATGGTTGTAGAAATTTGGAACCACTGAAACTCCCAGCGAGCTCTCGTGGGAACGGATCCTGGATCCACTGGGGATAAGGCAAGCAGAGACAGCAGACATGGTGATGGGGCTTGGATTGGGATGTTTGGGTGATTTTGACAGTGGAATTGCTGAGGAAGACTGTTGCAGATGATGAGACACTTTCTGAGCACACCTGATTTGATCACTTTTCCGCAGTGGATCCTACTGCTACAGATAGTACCTCTGGACTCGTTGCAAAAAGAATTCTCCCTCAGATCGGCCGGTGTTCCGTTCCAGCAGAACAGCCGGAGATCCAGATGTTTCCCAACTTTCCCACCCTTTCTGTCAAAAGGCTGAAGCCTGGGACAAGCGTTACGAGTTCATCTGGGCACTGGACAGCGACATCGACATCTCTCGTGCCGACGCTTCGCTGGAGTTCAGGATGGAGCGAAATCGGAGCGAAATCGGGCTGGGGCCACTTGGAGCGAGGGTTTCACTCACCCCAACTCCAGACCTTCAAATCTATCACTCCCAGCTTATGGACTGTTCTTCTCATCATCCATTTTTATGGGTCCAATGGCAGCCACTCCTGCAAACGCCGAAGGACTTGACTTACCTCGACCACGCGACCAACTGGCACGGCGCAGCGCCGTCGTCCGTCGTCCGTGGTTCTGCGTGCTGCGGTGCTCCGGTCGTCTCCGCCGGCCCCCGAGGACCTGTCACAGTTCTTAGAGATCGCTCGGGCGCTCGACTCCTTGAGACTTGGAGGAAGGGACGGGGGTCGGAGGGAGAGGAGAGATGGGCCTACAGTGCTTGGGGTTTGTCCTATCAAAAAAACTGTAGAAGTGGGTCAACAAGAACATCCCTATTTTAGAGAAGGGCTTCTCCTAACGGTCATCATCCACTGTTACTGGTAATGGGATAGAGCCAAGACATGTAGTCTAGTGATAGAGGGGCTGAGGTTTTCTCTTCTATGTCGACAGAGGGGACTGCTAAGACTTGGGATCTGGGCCGGGTGGATGGTGATAGGCCACCGTCCTGTTTCTGTCAGAATTGGGTTGTCAAATGCTTCAGGGTCTTACAGGATAGAAACGGGATGAACCGGTGGCCTATCAAGACTCTCTAAACACCATCACACCAAAGTGGTAGGTAAACTCACTGTGCCTTCAAGTCTATGTGTGTTCACCTTGGTGGATAACCACCTTAAACACCATCAATATCCCAACTTGAGTTTGGTACCAGGCTGAGAACCGCCTGTTTAATTCCTCCGTAGTCAGGAATGGGGAGCCACACAAGGATGGTTGGGTCAGGCGTGCATGTATGTGGGGACTAGGGTAAGTCCTGGTTTCGCCTCTTCTTCCCTATTTGGAGCACAGGTTTGCATGTACCTGCGGAATGGGGGAGTCATTCCTGGTTCCAAAATTCAAAAGGGAAAAGGGCCCCTTCAGGGGCCCTTCAGGGGGCCCTTTCCCTTTTTTTTTTGAGCGCGCTGTTATTTTATGTATTTGCAAAGGGAACACTGTGCTCGTTTTTGGGTGCCAAATTTTTGGTTTTGGGCTTAGGGCAAATGGCGCAAAACCGTTAGGCTTGGGCTACTGTACAACTCAGAAAGCTCTGGCTCTAACTGTGAACCCCTCTGTGCCACTGAGAGAAGGTCAGCAGGTTCGAGGATAGAACTCTTCTGTGGCCCCCCCAAATCAAACAGGTTAAGAGGTGAAACAGGAGCTGTTGTTTCAGGAGTGGCAAGTGGCTAAGCCTAGGACCCCATTGTTTCAACATTTCAGGACCAAACCTTGTCTGGCCCCAGAGGCAGGTTTCCTCATGACCTAGCCCCTGCCATGGCTGATCCTGTGGTGGGAAGGTTTATCAATTTTCTCAGGGGCAGCACAAGGCCTTCCAGCCCAATACCCCCGGACAAAGAAGCAGAAACCCTAGCAAGCATCAAGGGCCACAGGAACCAGACATCGACATGACCCTTCAGAGGAATTGCCAGTTGGCCCATACTTGGACTACCAGCTGTACCAAACCCTCAAGGTGGTACCAGAAAAGCCTGGCAATTTGATCCAAGTTGTGAATCACCTTATGGTTGTGTGGGTAGAAGGACTTGGAGGAAGAGAGGGGGTCGGAGGGAGAGGAGAGACGGGCCTACAGTGTTTGGGGTTTGTCCTATCAAAAAAAACTGTACAAGTGGGTCAACAAGAACATCCCTATTTTAGAGAAGGGCCTCTACTAACTGTCATCATCCACTGTTACTGGTAATAGGATAGAGCCAAAACCTAGAGGCAATGCCACTTCCACGATGGCACCAGCTAAGTGCACATTTAGCGATTGAACGACGCCTTGATGAGGAGCTTGCCATCATCACAGTTTGTTTTTGTTGATCAAGTTGTAGTGACACGGAGAATGACAGTGCATTGAAGGTGGGCCACCTCAACTCACTTGTGCATCTGCGCTTGTTTGTGCAGACAGTGCAATAACAAGTGTTGTCACCGACGCACGCGAAGCGAAGTGAGGATCATTGGTCCCACCTTTCTGGAAGGAAAGACGGGCCCAAGCTTCTTACAGGCTAGACCGGGTCGTGCGCGGCGTACGTTGCCGCGGTGTGTCTATATCTTCTTCAGCGGCCTGTTGTGATGGTCTTCGTGGCTTTTCTGACCTCGACTCGTCTCTCGTTGGAGCGTGTTCGAGGTCGAGGTATTCTTTCTTTTTCCCGGTGGAGTTCGGATCCCAAATTCCAATGGCAGAACTTTCTGTTTTGTTTGGGTGTACACCCCTTGGAAAAACGTCATGGTTCTGTGCATGGGGAAGTTTCTGGCCTCTCCCTCTCCCTGCTTTTTCGAAGACCAGACGGGCGGTGAACTCTTTGGTCCTTGCCATTTCCGATTTCAAAAAGTGTTTCTTCTTCTTTGGGCGAAGAGACGCACCCAGACGCGGACTCCCAGCCCGCGAATTTTCTTGGCAAATTCTGTCAGACGCCAGGAGCGGCTCTTCACGAGCGCGGGTGCGCGCACACAGCCCAAGGCCGACCAGGCGTGGGTCTTTTCCTGTTGGTCATGCGCAGCTAGCTAACTCCGGGTCCGTCATGTTCTTTTTGTGATGTTGCTCAGCCTGGTGGCGGATCCTTTTCTCATGTTTCCAAGTCTTGTGGATCACCACAACTGGCCCCGTCTGAGAGTGGACAGGCCCGATGTAGGTCGGGTGGATCACCACGATCAAAGAGAGAGGTCCCAACCGGTCTGCTTTCTGCGACATGGAAGTCTCCGAAAGCCACCCATGTCGGAGACCTACACCGAGTCGGGGGTGCTGGTAGTTGATGCATTGTTCAGGTCACCAAAGTCTCTTCTTTCCAAACTGAGAGGGGGTCATTGTTTGATGGTTTACGAACAATCAGCACACTGTGCAGGACCCACTCATACACCACCTGTGCTTCTTCGTCTCGCAGCAAGGCACTGGCGCTGGGCGGCTTTGGCCTCAATAAGATGCAGCGGCCCAACCCTGCTTGTGACTTGGCGATGGATCCGTTGGGCGTACACACACAGACAGACACCCCACCTAATGCACACTATTACTCACTCTAACTCAGTTCCTCCGGTGCTGTTTGCTGCTCTCTTTGCCGCTGCTGCGGGTTGGCGCTGGTTCTCCTGGATCGCGGCCGCCCGTCCGCTACTGTGGCACACCGCAGGGCGAGATGACGTCCGTGAAGTCGCCGTGCCGTAAAAATCGTGGTGCGGCCTCCGTGAAAAGCGCGTTTGCGTGGCTTTGTGCCATTCACAATGAACGTGCGTGCGTCAATGCAGTCGTGCCGTGCCATCAGTGGGAGGATTTGTGGTAGAAAAACGCGGCGAAATGACGTTTGTGAGATCGCTGTAGCCGGTAGCCATGTGGTTTGGTGCGGCCTCGGGGGATTCGGTGCGCTGTTCCGTGGCTTCCGGTGCCGTTGGTCAGGGCTCATGCGTGCGTGTGTAAACACGGCGTTTTCGCTGACGAGCTGGGAGGACTTGTGGTGTGTACATGACCAACATACACACATCACTCACCACCCTTTCAATCAAACAGACTTCACGGGCGCCTGAGACTGCTGGAAGGCTTGGTTAATGAAGGCTGGGCGTCTTCGCGTCTTCGCTATCGGGGCGGGGGCGAATTTGATCCACCCCCTTCTGTTCCGCACACCCAGGAGTGGGACGGGCCTTCAATAGGATCGAATTTCGATCACTTAGGCCGTAGGCCTTGAGCAGCGTGTCAAAAACCCATCGCTGCCAAATGAGATGCGAACATGCCCCACTATAGACTCCTGATAATGTATGGGCCGGGATTTTTCCAAATTGTATCGCATCCGAAGCTTCTGGAAGGCGATTACCGGCATACGGACTTCGTCGAGCTGACGGCCCCACTACTGAAGAGTGCCTTGGTAGCAATGGCAGGCGGTGCAGTAGGTGGTTCAGATTCTAGTTTAATGTTCGTAAGTGGCTTCAAAACACTTCGTATCAGAAATCCAGTCAATCTAAACAACACACAAATATATTGGTTACCGACGCGCACAAACCCACAAAGATGAGTTTCGGTTGTTTGAGATTTACCCGAAGGTCGCAAGGTAGGTTCACTGATGGAGGGGATGTTGACGATGCTCACATAGATCATGATGCATTTAATTTGTGGAGTGCAGACTGACCAGCCTGGAAGAGGTTTGCAAAAGTGTGTCTAGGGCTTATAGAGAAGGTCCTAAATTAAGTCAACAAACCGACAAGACAACTTGTGACTAGGATGTCTTCATTCCTCACATGGTGCTTTTGTCAAGGATTTTGTCACTGACACATTTCTCATCAATTCTCTACCAGGTTTCCATTTGATGCCAAAGGGCTCACATCAAAGTGATGACATGATTTTTCCCACCACGTTGATCCACTCTTCCCGAATGCCACTGTTACGGACCTTTCACTTCAATGCATTTCTACCCAGCCCCCAGTGCACCGAGTTCGCCGGAGTCGGTGAGGTGCGGCGTATCGGAGCATCTTGGGATGCGAGGATTGCATCTCACAGACCTCGGATTGGGGCCTTGATACGTTTCTTCTGCTGAAGATGGAGCTGGAAGGGCCGTGGAAAGGGGGGAAGGATGGAGAGGGTGTGCTTTGAGAGCCCGTTTAGTGCTTGAATATGTCGGCGGATGCGTGACCTGCAGTAGGTGTTTCAATGTTTCTTCTGTGTTTCCGTGACCGGCTGCCTTGGGCAGCCAACGGACTGCCTCCCTGCGACCCGGAAGAGCGCAGCGAGGTGAAGCGTCGCGGAGCGCTGAAGCCTCCCCCCCCACCCGATTCGGGAGGGACCTGGCAGGGAAGCCACACATGTGAATATGGACGCAGCTGGACCAAATCCAAAGAGATAGGCATTTTTTAATGGATGGACAGCAGAAAGAGAGATGTAGACTAGGACAGATGGGTAGACTAGGACAGATGGGCCAGATGCTCTGTATTCGACGGATCAAGAAAAGGCAGATAGACATCGTGGATGGATCGGGTAGTCGATCCCAAGGATGTGGTGCAAGTGGCTTGGATGCAGGGAAGGTCGGACGACAGCAGTCGGACTTCCACGGTCCGGGGGGAAGCATCAAGAAAGAACCCTAGAAGTGCAGGAAAATGACTCATAGACTACCCTGACTACCCCCCCACCAGTGCTGGATCATGACTGCAAGGTGGGGTTTCCTATGAGTCAAAACGGAAGTTCTGGAAACGACACGAGGCGGACATTGTTGAGGAGTGGGTGTTTCGCTAAACAAAATCCTTACAACTAATAGTCAAGGTCCTTTCGCAGACATTCTGAGGAACTTCAAAGATATTTTTTTTCAGACAAAGAACTTCAAGAAGCGTGCAAAGAGGATTCTGTTGTCCCCGTAGCTTTTGGTCATCCAGCTCCTTGAGCTGTCCCAATCGCCCCCAGCCGTCGCTCGCTACGTTCGTTGGTCGCTTATGAGATGTCACAAGGGATTCACACCTGGGTTGGGAAACCACTGGAGAGCGTAGGATCTGGGGCGAAAGGAGTTTTGGAGTTTTTGATTTTCGGATCTATCTCGGACTATAATCAAAAGATGTCAAAAGGATCCTTGAGAAGAGTGGCCCAGAATTGCACCCAGAATCTTGAGCCATGCAAACACCAAAGTATTTGTTCAGACTGAGATTCTACACAAATTCTTGAAAGCGCAAGGTATGTGGCCGAACGGCACGGATGTGCGCTAGTCGCGTGGCTGGAGAGAGTGTTGGGTTGACGCTATCGACCAGTTGATGTGCTGTTTGAATGACTTTCGGAGGTCCCAAATGTGACTGAAGAACGATCTCGCTACGCCGACATGGGAGGAGAAGTCGTGTTTGACTCTTTCTGGATTTGCAATTTCTGACTCATGTCAGGAGTTTTCCTGTTGTCTTGTCCGATCCCACACCATGCTACAACACTTGGAGCCTGGAATCTTGCTGTGGGAGGGACTGGATCCAAGAATTCACAGCCAGGATGAAGCCGGGGTTGATGAGGGATGCAGGCAAACACCTGCTTTTCATTGTGGTTGCGGGTCAAAGCAGCAAGAGATAGCACATGGTTTCAACAGACCATTCTCCATATCCTCTTAGGACATATCGGTATCTTGTGAAGCAACCCGGCTGAAGATGCTGTCCCAGCTCCTAAAGGCCCCTTTCTTTCACCACCACCGTTGCCGAATCCCGAAGAGACCAAAGAGACCGAAGAGACCAAGACCAAATCGGATCCGGGTGTCTCGAAGAGACGTCCTCACGAACGTCGACTCGTCCTCACTGGTCCTCACTGGTGAGGTTGACAAGACTCCCGTGATCCACCTGGATTGGTCCCTGGCGCGCATCAATGCTGGCTTCTATTTGTCCTTCCTGTCCATGCGGGCACGGTTCCAGAAGAACTGGACGCGCTACAAGGTCCTGGACTGCCAACGGCTGGGTGCCTGGGGCTGCTCAATTTAGGGGGTCAGAGCAGCTTTTTGAGTTTTGTGAAAAGAAGGTGACTGCAGGGATTGTTTCATGGATAAGAAAAAGGACAGGACACAAGTCAGGAGTGATCATAAGTGGTCATTTGTTTGATTAAGTGGGTTTGAGTCCCTCCAGAAGTTGCTTGGTATGGATACCTACAGTAATTGTTTCATTCCGAGGACCCCCCCCCCCATCCAAACTGGGACCCATTTCTTCCCCCGTCGGACGGACGGTGTGGGTTTCGTTGCCCGTCAACACCCGACCAGCACCCTCCCGAAGCACCGAACCAAATCCTCCGACGCCGCGGATTCCGAGGCCTTGGACCTCAGATCGCTGCGAAACAGTTGAGGGCCAAAGCCATCGCATGAGCCGCGATGCGCAGCGGACCGGAGCGAGCTCTCTTCTGGTGAGCCGAGTCCATGGCTTTGGCCGAGTCCACAGCTGAAGGAAGCAACTCTCCAAACATCATATCCACTAAAAATCCAAGCCTCCTCCTTCAGGCCTGTGTTGGGCTTGCGGTCAAGTCGATCAAGTCGCAAACATGAGACGTGGGGATGGAAGAATTGGAACTCGGAGTTCCGTTTTCCGTTTCCATTTTAGCACTCAGTCACAGGCCGGTCTAGACCGGTCGAACAGCAGCGCCACCAGGGTGAAGTTCTGTTCACGTACTTCCAAGCGACACCGCTTGCGTGCCCCGTTCTGGTGTCTTCCCCGGAAAGCCGGGGCAGATCCCAGCTGAAGAGGTGGCGGTGAGCCGAAAAGTCCTGGGCGGCCTTTTGGGCGCGGCGAAAGGTTCTTTTGTCGCCGCCCTGGGGGACGGATGAGGGGCGTTGAAGCTTAAAGCGCTTGCTAATCCTTACAACATGCTTCATGGGATGGGTCACTTGGCTGAGCCTGGCACAACATACCAATACATTCCATCGGTTTCACAACATGAATACAGGGTTTCACTCACTGAGCTTGATTGAATCTCGCCCACCTGCACAAATGCACTTCCCACTGAATCATCCAACTGGTTTCCCTGCCAGTTCCGCTTGGACAGACAGGGCGGGTGGGCGATCGAAGTCTCCTTCCCCGGTCGCGTGGGACCGCACGTTGGGCTGATCGTGCGCATGGGGTCGGAGACGGACAAGCACACGGAAAGGGGGAAGAGGGACCTGAAGCAAACCCTTTATATTGGAGGGCCCGGAATTCTTATAGGGTAAGATCCTTCCAAGCAGCAAGGGAAATGGCCGAACCTCCACCGTGCCGAACGTGGGCTCCGTGCCGTCCTTGTCGCGCAGGTGCGCCCTTGACCTTTGCCAGGCAGGTGGTCAAGTCGGATGGTCGGTTTCCGGGAACCTTCAAGTTTCGTGGTGGATTGGGGTGTTTGGTTGGGAACGGCACGTTTCCACACCTCAGACTCTGTTCTTCTGTAGAAGAAGAGTCCGGCTACGGATATGAACCATTTCGCGTTTTGATGCATTGATGCAATTTTGGCGGAAAGCTATGGATATTGAAACCCTCCAAGTGAAGTCATGTGCTTCGCCTATGTGCGAAGGGCTCTCCTAGTTGGAGAAACAGACTAGTACGTCTAGCAGTTTTGGGTGAACAATATGTGTATGTATATGCATTATATTATCAGAAAGGAGCGCTCTGAGCGGCGCGTTTTTGCATTGTTTCATTTTGTTTGTATTTTGTTTCTATATTTGTATTGTGTTTCTATTGATGTTTTGGAAAATTGGAATTTTAGAAAATTGGAATTTTGGATTTTTGTGATGTCCTGGGATATTTTTAAATTTTTCAATTTCCTTGGAAGTGAAAATTTTTCAAGCCTTGCACTGCGACGCAAACACGTTCCAGTGCTCAAAGATTGTTTGATCCAACTAAGCCATCCAGCCTTGCTGTGAACAGCCGAAACACAAAGCGTGGGTGTTGTTCATTGTTTTTCGGCCGTTTGCGGATTCCAAAGGGAAAATGTTTGATGTTTTCTATCCGCCTTTTGACATTTTCATCGAAAAACGCGCCGCTCACAGCGCTCCCCTCTCCAGATTATATCGATGTGGTAGTACATCTTGCGGACTTCTCAATGGGTGTTATGTGGTTGATCCGCCAGAGCTTCAGCTTGGTTTGCTCATGACCACCCCATACCTAGACCTTCTGCTCCGGTGCAAACTGTCTGCTTTTTTGCTCGGCTTGTAGATGACAAGGCAAAAATTCTGCACAGGAACGGAAGATCAAGGTATTCTACTTTCCTAAAATATTTTCGGTCCTGTACGTGCGGCCGTTCCAAGGTCACGAAGAACACCACGACCATTCCCGTCCATGGACGAAACCAAGGGAGGGAACTCAGTTGTTCACCCAGACCGGTCGAAAGTCGTCACATCTTCTTGGAGGAAACCATAAAGAACTTCCATTTTCCTGAGAGTCATGACTCATGACTCATGAACTACTCCGGCCTGGTAGTGGTGCAGTATGACTCCCAGGTGTGTAAGAACATGAGTCAAGACGGAGGTTCTGGGCTTGAAATCCCTTTTTCCTTCCGCATCCGGTGGAGTCACCACGAAGCGATCTTCTCCTTAGGAGCCATACTCCCTGCACACCAGGCTTCACGTGGCCCAGCAGATGCACCCGGGCGCGATGCCGCAGCTGGCTCCGGTTTTTGCCGCTCCCGTGCGCGCAGCTCCGGTCCACTTGCGCCCTCTCTAAGTAGCTGGGGCGAAGACGAAGATCGCGACCACCGGACCGGGTGGGGCCGGGCGACTTTTTCAACGGTGACAATGATCTGCCGATAGACAATGAATAGACTAGACGAGGTCAATGAAGTAGAGAACTGTAGTAGAGTGCCCTGGTACTTTTTGCCAAGACCTCTCGCCACTGCTGACTGTCTGCAAGCTGAAACATGGTCGTGAAACATGTTCAATAGATGTCATGAGTTCAGCATGGTCAGACTTTTTGCCAGGTAGCCTTGTTAGCATTTGTAGAAGTTTGTTACCCTTCATAAAGGAAAGTAGTATTCGAAGAGACCGTCTTCCACTTCCATGTTAGTGAGTCAGAGTGTAAATCGTCCCTTTGGACTATTCCTCTTCCATTGTCCGGTTCGACTGTTTGTGAAGGACACTTGATAGGCTCCTCTGCCGAAATGACCTCGGTTGGTATTGAAACTCTTGCTGTGGCATGTTTCGTTGCTCCAGAAAAATTGCCAAAGTTAAGTTTTCTGCTTTTTACCTACTTAATGCCACCTGCCATCTTGTGCCCAAGAAGACACTGTGTCCTGGAGGGAACTGACGCAGCAGGGCAGCTTGCGAGAGGTGGATACACAGACGCGCCCTGGTCTTCTAATGAAGATGCCTTTGGCCGAATTCAAAGATACACAGTACAAATGCAGTAGCCATTTCCTTCTCAGGAGAAAGCGCCGCAGATGTTGTTCTCAAAGCATCACCCATCATGGCTCTTCAGCCGAGACCGGTCGCGCCGAGACCGGTTGGCTGTGACCGGTTCTTTTGGGGCTCCCGAAGGGTTGAAGGGGATGTGCACAATATACATGAGGTAACGAGAGGTTTTCATTCTGAGGGTTTTGCTGGCATGGGTTCTGACCTCGTTCATGTTCTGGTTCACCCTATTTCCGATACCTCTTTGCAACTTGTGTGATAATTTAAGATGATTTATATAGTGTCCAGAGCCTGGGCCAAAGGACTGTGAACGGAAAGAGGAGAGGCGAGGCAGCTCCAAAATATATCAACATATGACTTTTTGTAGGAAACGACAACGAGGTGCCACGTTTTGGCCCCTCTGATACTATTCAAAAGAAGGCCTGTGGTCACATGCTGCATGAAGTAACAAGTAGTGCCACTGCTGCGTGCGCTCTTCTGAGCTAGCTTAAATCGGCATTGGACAATGCTTTCGACCACCAGAAGGCACGAGACTTCGGCGTTATGTCGGGACAGTCGACCAATGGATGGCGTGCCAATGAATAACGTGAACAATGTAGACTGGTTGATGGATCCAGAATGGTTTTACATGTTCATATGGGGGTTTTATATGGCTTTATTCATCAACAGTCTAGATCAGGTCTTTTGGATTTGGAGCTCATTCCTTAGCATTTGGCTCCCCACATTCGGCATTCGGCAAATCAAGATTGCTGCCGAACTAGGGGCATGGTGGTTTTTCTCTGGCATGAAACGCCACCTCAAACACTTGGTACTGTGGAATCGAACATTTTGGACTTCTCAAGTTTCCGTTTCAGCTCTGATGTCCTTTTTTTTTAGTGACCTCCCTCAGTAGAAGGCGGTATTGGAGGGTGGATCGTCGTGGGACCTGGGACCGGCGTTTCTTTGTTTGGCAGGCTTTCAGAGCTTTTTTTGGGATTTGGGGTGACATGACCAACAGTAAGAGGTGTCCCAAGCTAACAAGTCTGAGTGGGCACCACTCTGCCCACTGCTCGGGCCCCTCATAATGATTCGTGGATCGCGGGCACCTCATGTGGATCGTAGGCCCCAGCAAATCCCTCGGCACACATACTCCCTCATCCGTGAACATTCTCGGCTTGGATCCTTTAGTTTTTGGGGGAACAAACTCGGTGGAAGAAGCAGCACGCTTGCTTTTGGGATACAGGCCTGAGAAGTACGTCTTCAAAAGTGTCAGGGACCAATCTTCATTGGAGAAATGGGTTTCGGCTGTCGTGGTCAAGCGCCGAGCTCGAAAGGGTTCACGGGATGCAAATGCCATTAGCTCGATGCTGCACTGGCAGCGCTGCACAGCCCAGCGGGGAGTTGCCGGTCCAATGGAGCCTGAACGAGGGGCTCGTGGGGGTCTTCGTGTTTGGCCACCGAAGTTGGCTGAAGACGAACTGTGGCTGAAGACTTGGTTCAGTTTGACGAGTTGAATCACAGGTTAGACCTGAACAGAAGTGTTCGAGCAGCTGCGGTCCGAAAGCAACTCTTCCTTGTCGACTGATATGTATTTGGTTTCATTCTTGGCCCTGCCTCTCTTTGGCCTTCCCCGGAAAAAGCATCTCCGAACTGACTCTAGTTCAACCTGATAAATGGGAACGTCAAGTTCAAGTCAATCAATGCTCTTGCAGCTCTTGCTATGTTGTTGGAGATGCGTGAAGAGATGACACCGCCGACTATCGACTATCATCAACTTGGGTGGATGACTTGGGGCAACCTTGATTTTTTGTCCTTGGAAGGCCGGTCTTCCTTTTTGGGGCAACTTTTCGTAGGTCGGAAGGCCAGTCTCCTGTTGGACAGAGTCATTTCCATAGCAAGCACTTTGATTTACAAATCTCCAGTCGACCAGGCAAGACCTCTTTGACATGACAGTGATGTCGATTGCCACCCCCCATTGACGAGCCGCAGTCCAAATGCGCATCGCACGTGGCGTGGATGTCTTTTTGCTCGTCTCATCCTGTGGGTTCTGTGGCATCCAAGTTTTCAACTCAGTGTTCCAAGACCAACTACACCAGGACCCGACGATAAA